GAACAGCGCCCATGTTGTCCACCTGCGTCGGGCAGCAGGTCACCGCGCACTTCGGTGGGCTGCGATTTCGCAGTGTGCATGCATGCGGAAGTGGGACGTTCTGCGCGGGGTCCGCCCTGCCCCGGGCGCGGGCCACGCAACTGTCGAAGCGAGGGGCGGCGGCCCCAGGGCCGCAGTGCTGTAGGGGCATGGTGACGGTACTGCGAGTGGCGCGTGTCGTGTACGCTTCCGGATGTGGCGGCCATCAGGTGCGTTGTGCCGCGTACGGTGGGGGAGTGGTGGCTGCGTCTGGTCTTTGTCGCGTGAGTTTTGTGTGCCGCTGGGCCTGTCGCCACGGTGGTGGCTTTCGCTGTCGCGTGGGTGTGCTTCACCCCGAGATGGCGGGGGCGGGGAGGTGCGGTCGCGGCCACACCGCGGGGTTCCGGATTTTTTGTTGTGCGCAGGCGAGCGCCACGTGCGGGCGTGGGCCGTTTCTTGCGGTGGTGCGCGCCTCCGTCGTTCTTCTTGCGGAGGCGACGGTGTTTGCATGGCATTTGCTTGCCTTTATGTTTGTTTCGCGGCACACCTCTGAGGCGGGGCTGCGGATTTGCTTACGGCGTTCTTGTCTTTTACTTTCTGGTGTGAGTTGGGTGAGCATACGTAACTGCCACCTCATCGCGAGTGAGGACCTTGCGGTCGTTTATGTCGTGACGCTGTTTGAAGACGGCAATGAGTTGAGGGATGATCAAACCAACATCCTGGTGCGTTGTGCCGATACCTCGTATCTCTAGTGGCTCTACTGGCAGAATGACGGTAGTGCGACGGAGAGCATCGTTGTCAGGCAATCTGCTCCAAATTCTCAGAGGGAGAAGTGCAACCTTGGCCGCAAGTATGCTGTGGGCATCTCTCCCCCCGTTTAATGCTGCCCCGTAATGTCTTTTAGAGCGTTTGATCTTGTGTGTGTCTCGGCAGTGCACCATGATCAAGATTGACCTAGTGCTGCCGCTCCCTGTGTTTGCATGTCTGCTGCTTCCGCCACGTGGCAACGCTCACGTAGTCGTACATACTTTCGGGCCCTGCGACGCATTTGGAGCCCGGTGGTAGACCAATCGTCTTGTCCGTGGCGCGGGAGTTTGCCCGGTGACGGATGTGATGGATGACTATCCTTCCGGATACGGTCTGGCGGAGGAGGATGTTGAGACCGATGACGCTTTTTACAGCTGCATCGCTGAACAGGCCTTTGAGGTAGAGCGGAAGCGTCGCGAGGGCGAGAATTGATGGTGGCGGGCGAATAGCCTTCCTCTGCGGGTGAAGCTAACGGAGTCGGCGAAGAAGCTTCGTGTGCTGGTGGTAGAGGACCGTCAGGAGGCGGTGCAAAACACACGTGTGGATCTTGACTCGGAGGAGCGGGCAAAGGTGTAATACATGCCGCCAGAGCAGCAGCAGAAGCCTCCAGAGTCACATGCCTTGCCGCGGAGCGGTGTAGCCGACGATGCTGCGGCGCCGCAGGGTGCTCAGAGCTTCTACTCAGGCGCTTCCACCTTCGACATTCACCGACCGAACCGGAAGTCGGTTGCTCCCTCGCCAACGGTGGCGCCGGCGCATACGTCGGAAATACGGCACGAACCGCATCATTCCCTTTTCGCATATCTCTGTGCTGGAGCCCACTTGTGGTGGCGCTCAGCAAGGCACGTCGGCAACCTCGTCCTACTCGCGTCCACCCGCCACATTGCGGCCAGGGGGTCCTGAAACCGGCATAATTTCCTTGTTCGCCATGCAGCGTCTGAAAATGCCACTACGGAACACCGGCCTTATTGGCGAAGAGATTCTCGCACAGGCTCTCTCGGTTGCTGAGGTGTGTTGGTCAGCAAGTGGTCGCGGCTCAACTCTGTTGTGGCCCTCGTAAGAAAAAAAAAAACTGCAGCGGGGCTCCCTGGACCCTAACGCAAAGTAGGAGACTGTGGAAGGGAAACGAGACTGCATGTGCAAAGTTGTGAGAAGTTGTCTTGTGCCTATTTTTTTTTCTGGGGGTTTCAGTGTTGTTGTTGAGGTTTTTATATAATCAATAATACATGTATATGCATCTGTGTGTGTGTTTACATGTGTAGTCGAGTGTAGATGAAAGAGAACTGTGAATGGCAGGTGTATTGATTGGTGCAAGAGGGTCTCTAGCAAGAAAAAAGAGAAATAGCGAGGAAGGGTGAACGGTGAATAGAATGCCACCTGCTGAATACTCCATGTGCCATGCGATGCACATTGGGGCGGTGGCCCTTTTCAAACTGAATGTTTTATGTGATGCGAGCTGCTGCCGCATGTATGCCAATTTCACCCTTCTATGTTATTGTCGCCAATGCGTCTATGAACATGCGTGCCTGCATGTACATTTTTTGTGTTGTTCTGCAAGGGGTGGGGTGGGGAAGGGATATATATATATATATATTGTGCCTTTTGAAGTTGCTTGAGATGAAGAGTGCGTGGGGAGGTGAGTGGAGGCTGCAGTGAAGTGAGTGCCGTCTTGTGGCTTTTGTAGTGGATGGCAGGATATCTACGCGTTTTTTGCCTTTTGTTTGTAAGGATGTAATATACCTTTTTTTTTCTTTTTTCTTTTTGGCCGCTGCATCCTGCAGGGAGATTCAGACACTTTTTTTTTGGAGAGTCACGGCATTCATCTGTGCCGTGGCAGAGACCCGCCGGATGCGTTGGCGCCTACATGAGCCTCAGCAGCAGCAGCGGCAGCAGGAGACTAGGGGCGGGGAACTTTGCCGGGGAGACGGAGGTGCGGAGGAAGTGGTGCCCGCTCCTGGAGCTTCTCTCCGCGGACAGTGATGCGGCCGACGGAGCACCGGTGTCGTTGATGATTGTTGCTCACGTCACATACCGCGCGTCATTGCTGGTGCGTGCACTGCGTCGCTGGCGAAATCGCACGGACGCTGTCGTGGAGCGGCGGCGTTGTCAGGCTTGCCTCGCGGTGCAGTGGTACGCGAGACGCCGTGTGTTTCTATTCTTCCGGGCCTGGCAGTGGCGCTATGGAGAACGTTGGCAAAGCCGGGTCAACAATGCATCCGCACAGAAGCACTGCGTGGCCGCAGCGCTGCGGCGGGCACTGACGGCCTGGAAGGTGTGTTTACGCACGAAGCGGGAGTTGGAGGCACAGGTGAATACTATGAGTGAAGGTGTTGTGAAGGCGCTTCTTCTGCGGTGCTGGCTTGCTTGGCACCACCGCGCCCTGCAGTGTATTGCATACAAAAAGGTGTCGAGTGGGGCGGCGAGATGGCGCCGGCAGTCGTGTTGGATGGCCTGGAGGCATGTGACGTGGGAACGAAGAGCTCGCCGCTTACACATGGCTGGGCTCCTGCTGCACCTGCCCGCAGCCTGGACAGAGATACACCAGCTGCCGAACATGAAGAGCGGCTCTGATTGCCCGATGCCTTGTGCCCACGATTGCCTCCTTTATGAGAGTGTGGCGTCGGATTCGCTTGCGATGCGTTTCTACTGGATTCGGTGGCTTGGCGAGAGCGCGCGGCGGCGCGGCATTCGGCTGCGCAGGTATGAAGCTGCAGTTGCGCACATAGAACATCATAGAGACGGGCGTGCCATGGCTTGCGGGTATCAGCGGTGGCTCATGCGTACAGTAAGCACGCTCCACAGTCGACGAACCACCCTTGTCGCCCGTTGTAGGTACTTCTACAAGTGGCTCCTTTTCGCTGAGCGTCAGGCGTTGTGTGAGCGGCGGTGGAGGGACGTGGCCCGGCGTTGTAAATCCAGCGTCATGCAGTACTGGAGGGAGCGCACACTTCGGAGGCAGCGGTGCAATCAACACATTGCCCAGGCGGGTGAATTCTGCGAGGACGCCTTGCGAAACCGCCTGCTTCCCCTATCTTTTTACAGGTGGATGCAACGCGTGCGGTCGCGACGCGAGTACAGGGCGTTGGAGCAGGCTGCATACCACCACCGCACAGAACTTGTGCGAAAGCTTACCGTGAATAACCTGCTGAGCAGCGTTCTCCTGACGTTTTGGCAGCCGTCACGGGAAGAAAGTTTGTCCACTGCGGAGTCGCAGCCACCAAGAGCAAAGTGCACGGTCACGATGACGCGTACGGCTGCCGACGCTTACACAACTCCAACTTCCCCTGCTGCTTGTTGTGTGGATCCCGAAGTACGCACGGTCAGTGAAGCATTCGTCGAGAATGACCCTGTGGAGGCTCTTCGACGGCGTCTCGTTTCCCGCTCCGCCGCCATTCCTCTCGTAGGACGCATGACCCACGTAGACGCTTTCACACCGCCGATTCGTGCTGCTGCTGCTTCTGCTGGAAGTGGCCCTGCCGCTTGTGTGAAGGCTCACGTGACGTCTCCTTCGACAGCTTCAGGCACCCTAGCTGAGGATGCCTCCCCGTCGCCGCATCTCGCGGATCACACTCCTACTGTCTCGTTGAACACGTCAGTGACAACAGTCCGTGTTGCCGCCCAAATTAGCGTTGCGGAGGGTAAGAATCTTCTTTTGGCGTATCGTGCAATGTTGGCTAGTGCCTCGGCGGAGCGTGAGGAGGCTGGTATACTTCGTAAGAAGCTCCGGCTGTATTCTGCCCAGAGGCAAAACCGCGCGGGGTCTGTGACACGCATTCAGCAGGAGGAGGCGCAGCTACAGCATCGTCTTCTTGTGCTTCGTCAACGGGATTTGGATCGCCAAGCAACGCGGGCGCAGGTGCTGCAGCTGGCAAAGCAGCTGGAGGTGGTGCTAAGGCCCTCTGACCCTTGCACCGGCCTTGCGGTGGAAGGAGGAGAATAGAACGTGGCGCGAGGGTGGGCAGGGGCTCGTATGCATCCGTCGTTTTTCTTTCGTACTTTTTTGTTGTTGTTGGCCTGCGTCTTTATTTTTCTCCCCATACAAACCGTAGCCGACGCCCCGTCGCCGTGGTTGGCTGCGTGTGTTTCTACCACCGCTCCCACTCTTGTTGGTCCGCTCAGTTTCAACCATGCACCACCGCGCCTTCACTTCTTCCCAGTGACTGTGAATAAATCCTCGGTGTGTTGTCCACCCGTCTCAGTTTCGTCGGACGGTGTGTATTGTCGTTGCTGTTGCCTTTTTCCTTTAATCGACGTTTCCCTCTTTCCCTCTTTCTATCTCCGCAGATCGCTTTGGAGAAGAACGAATTATGGGCTCCTATTGCTCGTGCTTGAAGGCTTCACACGCGCTAAAGTTTTCCAAACCCTCACGCGTTCCACCCGACCCGGAGCTTTTCCCGCGGTACTTTCAGAACAAGCAGGGCTTGTGGCTGCACTTTGCAGAGTGGGCGCCGCCACGCGAGGTGCCCAACGTGCGTGCGGTGCTGTTCCTCATCAGTGGGGTTGCAGAACACACGGCACGGTATGATTCCGTGGCGTTGACGTGTGCCCGCGCAGGCTACCACGTCTTCTGCATGGACAATCAAGGGGCCGGTGGGAGCGAGGGAAAGCGGCTCTACGTGGAAAACTTCTACGATTTTGTGGACGACTTTCTGCTGTTTAAGCAAATTATACTTTCCCGCTACCCGGACTACGCCACACTGCCCTGCTGCCTGTTGGGGCATTCCATGGGCGGCTTGATCGCTGCACACGTTGCGCTACGTGACCCAGACGCGTGGGCCGCCGTCGTTCTTAGCGGCCCAGCACTTCAATTCGACCCACAATTGACCACACCCTTCATGCGCTGGCTTGCATTTAAGCTTTCCAAATGTTTCCCAAAGCTTGGTGTAAAGGCAGTCGACACCAACCTCATCAGTAACAACCGCCCAATTGTGGAGCTTGCCAAGCAAGACCCATTTATGTCTTCCGCCCCTCTTACGGCACGCTGGTTTGCAGAGATGCTGCGCGCCATCGATGACATGTGGGAAAAGATGGATAGAAGCACCTTTCCGCTTCTCATTGTGCACGGCAGAGATGACAGCCTGTGCGCTATCAGCGGCTCTCGTCGGTTTGTAGAGTTGGCGCTCTCAAGCGACAAAACACTCATTGAGTATGATGAGTTAGCGCACGAGGTTCTCAGTGAGGTCTCGTGGAAGAAGGTTATGAGGGACGTTCAGTCCTTCTTAGACCGCCACTGTCCCTCTAGATAAACTCTTGTATTGTTTTTGCCCTTCTCGGACAGGTTTTGCTTTATAATATATATATGTTTATATAAAGCACCTTCGGATTCTCTTGGGATATACATTATTTACAATTTTTGTGTACGACATTTTTTTATGGCTTGCGGTAGCTGCCATGCCATGCTACGTTTGCTCTGGTCCTGACCGCGGAGGGGCGTGGAGGAGTTTCGCTGGGTCACTGTTTGGCGGGTGTGGGGTTAGAGAGGCTGAGGGAGTTGGTGTCTGGGGGTACGTAGTCAGAAGGAAATGCGTGTCTGTTGTTTTTTTTCCTTTTCGTTTTTGCTTTTGGTGGCTCTTTTACGCTTTGCCACTCCGCGGCGGCGGGTGGGCCGTGTGATTGCCGCTGATGACACGACCATGTGCGTGCTGCTTGCCGCAAAGGCAAGAAGAGGGTAAACCAAAACCACAACAAAAGCAGCAAATCACGTCTCTATGATTTGTTTTGTTTGTGTGTGTTCAACACAGAGTCGTTGTGGCGGATGCATTTATTTTTAACAGAGTACCGGGCTGTGGGTTGTCGCTTGCCGCTGAAGTTGTACCGTCTGTGGTGGCCCCCTCTCCCCCTCTCTGTCTTTTTTCTTCTTTTCTTTTCTGCCTTCGTGTGGACGTGTGATGCGCTGTTGCCACCGCTTGAGCTTTTCCCTCTTGCTTTTATGCTGCTACGCCACGGCGGCCTTTTCGTTTGTCTGCTTACACGTTGTCTTTGCCCGTTCGCCTGCCGTGCCGTTTTATTGTTTTCGTCGCCGAAGCAACGAAAGGAAGGGAGAGAGCGCCGCGCGAGCAAAGCGAAGGCCACGCGTTGCGTTACTGAGGGCCGATCCAGCATAGAGAAGGGAGGAGGCGCCAGGCAGCACCGCGAGGGAGGCATCGCTTTACTCAAAGCAGAGGAAACTGAGGCCGCCAGCCGAGGGAAAAACGATGGCTTGTCGAAGAGAATCTCTGCTGCACCCGGCACCACACCCGCTGCTGCTATTGTGCCTGGCAACAGCGGTGTTGTTACTGACGGCGGGTTTTCTCGGTGCTGACGCCGCCTCGACCACCATTGGAAGCGGCGAGAAGTTGTGCCTGAAGGAGGTGGTGCCACCGCAGAGCCGGGTAACGTTTCAGTTCCAGGTCATCAGCGGCGGCAACCGCGACATCCGCGCTTCCGTTGCGGACCAGGACGGGAAATTCCTGAAAGAGTGGACGGAGACAACGGAAGGGATATATGAGGCGCTCGCACAGGGCGGCACGAAGGCCATCGTCGCCTGCCTTGACAACACCTACGCACATTACACCCCGAAGTTGGTCGTCTTTCACTTTCGATACCACGTCGACTACACCTCTGTGGCGAAGGAGGAGGAACTGGACCCGGTGGAGAAGAAGGTAGAGCACATCTCCACCACGATGCGTCAGGCCGAGGCGCTTCAGATGCACCTACGGGCTCAGCAGAAGGAGCACAGGACTACGGTAGAGGAGTCGAATCAGCGCCTGCTCGTGTGGAGTGTGTTGCAGGTCCTTGCGCTGGTCGTTATGAGCGTCTTCCAACTGTACTTTTTGAAGCGATTCCTAGAGCGCAAGTCGTTTCTGTGAGGCATATAAGGGAGAGGGGCCTCAATGGAAGCTACCGCGCACGCCGCGACTTCTGCTCTGTGGCATCTGATCATTGGGCGTCACTGTATAGTAGCGTGGTCTGTATTGAACGGCTGCCGGGGTGGGAGCCAAGGCGTGGGTGCCACTAATGAGGAAGGCAAACAATAAATCAGAGGAAGAGGAACAAAATAGCATGATGAGAAGAAACGATGAAGAAGACTCCAGGAGAAAGAAACGGGCGCACAGATTAGATACCGACGGCTTAAGCGCAGTGTGGATTGGTCGTGAAACGAATATATATATATATATATATATATTCTGCTTCTCTGTGTCGCCTCGCCCTTTTTTTTTTGCATGTGGGAAGACGTGAGGCACGCCACAGCACCCCACTCCACTTTTTCCCATTACTGTGGTCGTTGGGCTCCACGCTCCCTTCTCCCGCACGCTCGCGTATTTTGTTATGTGGTGCGTGTGTTCATGGGGGAAGGGGGGAAGGGGGGAGTTTTGTTTGTGCTTGGTGCTTGTGTGTGGGCCATGTTTTGGATGCTCGCTGCATTGCTCACATGCACGCATACACGCTGCTGAGTGGCGTGCGTGGATGCAGTGGGTTTTCCTTTTGGACGTGTGTGTGTGTGTGTGTTAGTCGTGCTTTTTTGCCTCGAGCCTCTCCACCAGACCGCATTTCTCAAAAAGTAGGAGCTGCGTGGGAGACCATTAGAAAGGGAAGAAGTAGGTCAATGGGGCCGCGAACTCGCTTCTCTTTCGAGCTGAAGACGCAAAGGCGCCTGGACGCTGTTCTCACGGACCCAATCTTCAAGGAGGCGCAACAGCGGTGGGGGATCCACAGTCAGACGCGTGTGTGTGCCTTTCGGTTTGAACAGGAAAACACCAGCGGCACTGTGCAGGAGGGTGCGTCGCACGGTGGCGGCGTCGTGGTTGCTGGTGCGCTGCGGTTTTCCGGGTTTCACAAAGGGATGCTGCAGGACTTGCTGGTGTCTTTCTTTGAGTCAACCGCAGTGCGTGAGGCGCTCGCGCTTTGTGCTGCGCCGAAAGCGTTGGGTGACGCCGTGCAATACACCGAGCTGTACTGTAGCTGGACGACCTTGGAGCCGTTCATGCGCCTTGTCGAGGCGGGAGTCGTGCGGCGTGTGGAACTTTCGGAAGATGTTCCCCGTGATGAGGCAGAGGCAGCCATATTTGACGGTGCCGTTCGTTTTCCCGTCGTCCGGCGCGCGGATGTCTACCTTCCGCACGACATTGCCGTGACGGATGAGCTGCGGGCGCTCTTCCTGCTAGCACCCAGCCGCGCCATGTGCCACGAGGAGGAGGAGGAGGAGGACGAGGCGTGGAACACGTGTAGTTACGGCTCCGGCGCTAGGCTTTCACTTGGCACACTCCGAGGTATTTTCAGTGCGACGGAGCGGTCCGAGTTTTTGTACCACATTGTGTGGCGTTTTGTGGCGGGTGGCGGCAACAACAACCAGTGGGACGAGGACTTGGGCGTGTACTTGGACCTGGCGCGGATGTGGTACAAGAGCCTTGTCGCCATCCGTGCGGTGCATACGGAGGAGACGACAGCTGTCGCAGGCGGCATGGACGAGCCCGATCGGGCTGCAGACGTGGACAGTGGCGCGTTGATACCGGAGGTGGTCTCAACGGTGGTCGCTGTGCAGGCGGTGGGTGGCCTCTCCCTCTTTGCCAGATCCGACGAGGTGGAGCCTAGTAACTTGAACTACTGTTACGTCTGCATTGACCCGGTGGAGGCGGAGGTGGTGGTCTGGTACCACTGCCTCTAGCAACACCCACACACAATTCCTGTCTCTGTCCTTTTTTTTTTTGTTCCGTGCCTGTGCTTGTGTGAACTCGTTACATTTTTATTTTCGGTATATATATATATATATATAAAGACGGGTGAATGATGGTGGCACGGCTCTTGTGCGGGGAGAAAGACTGAGTGAAATCCAACTAGCACGGGAGGCAGCTTGGAGAGGTTGTGAATGTCGTGGGCGTCACTCGCACGCAACGGTTTCTTTTTCTTGTGTCTAAGTCTCCAGTAGGGAATCTGCTGCCGCTGGACGGCATTGGTGGAGGTTGTGGTGGAGAGGCACTTGACTATCTCCTTTTGTATTTCGTAGCCGTGGTGGTGAACAAACGCGCTCTTCAGATTGTGTTGGTTACACCGAAAGGAGAGGTCGTAAACAGCATGAAGAAATATGCAAAGGTGGAGACAATTGACAGTGTGGCTGGGCGACTCATTATTGTGGGCGACATTCACGGCTGCCTGGCTCAACTGCAGGGGCTGTTGGCAGCCGCGGCCTTCGTAAAGGGCAGGGATGAGGTGATCAGCGTTGGGGACTTGGTGAACAAAGGGCCCGACTCGTTTGGCGTCGTGCGCCTGCTGCAGAGCCTTGGCGCACGCGCGGTGCTCGGCAACCATGACGCCAAGCTGCTCAAACTTCGGAAAAAACTGCGACGGAATGGGGCGCTGACAGGGAAGGGCAGTGAGTCGAGTTTGGCGCCGCTCGCCATGACGCTGCCGAAGGATGTTGAGGACTATTTGTCACGCCTGCCGCATGTTCTTTGCATCCCCGCACACAAACTGCTGGTAGTGCACGCGGGCCTTAACGTTCAATTTCCTCTTGAGCAGCAGCTGGCCAAGGATGTAACCACGATGCGCAACCTCATTGTGAAAGGGCCTGGGCTGTACACTGCGTCCGAGGATACAACGGAGGGTGTGCCGTGGGCCTCACTCTGGCGGGGCCCGGAGACGGTTATATTTGGCCACGACGCCAGACGAGGCCTCCAACGACACCCGTACGCGATTGGATTGGACACGCAGTGTGTGTACGGCGGCGAGCTCACCGCTGTTGTCTACCCCGGTGAAAGCCTCATCTCCGTGCCCGGATGGACCTTTCAACCGTCGAAGGTGTGAGGGGCATGCAGAGCGTGTTTCATGTGAAAATTTTGCATCTCTCATTACCTTTTGGGTGCTCGACATGCGCGTGAAAGTTTACGCTAGCGGCAGTAGTTTCTTTTTGGCTTTCTGGTGACACCGAAGCCTCAGTGCATGTGCGCTTGTGCCGGCGGTGGTGTGCCACGGCGGCGCGTGGGAAGTGAAGGAGTAGCCGAGGAGTGGCGTGGGTACTTCTCCGCAAGGAAGAATATATATTTTTTTTTTGTCGCACGTGTGCATTTTTATCTTTTTTTCTCTCTCTCTCTCCTTTTGCCTCCCCTCGGGTTTGACGGTGAATCTCTTGCTTCTGTGTGCATGTGTGTCTCTGCCGTCTCTCGCTGATGCGCTGCGGCTGGGGAACAAATTATTGTTGCTGCAGTCTTCCCACCTTGCTGTGTGGGTCTTTCTTCTTGTTTGAGGGATTTCTTACGCTTCGCTAACCGTCTCTCACTCGGTGGGGCTGCACCAGTGCTCTTTGCATATGCTCTCCGTGTGTTACGTGACGACGCCGTCGATGGAGGTGGCGCGGGAACTCTCGCGGCGGCTGGTCGTGGGCAGGAAGGCGGCCTGCGTGAACATCATTCCCACCGTGACCTCCGTGTACCAGTGGGAGGGCAGCCTGCAGGAGGAGAGCGAGTGCCTCATGATGATCAAAACACAGACGTCGCGCGTCGAAGAGATCGTTGCGGAGGTGACGCGTCACCACCCGTACGAAGTGCCGGAGGTGATCAGCGTGCCGATGGGGCCCGGAAACGCGGAGTACCTCCAGTGGGTTGCGGCATCCACAACGCCGAGTTGAGCCGTTGCGGGCGGAGTTGCAGGTGCATCTGTCGCCGAAGCGTGGATGAGAAGTGGGGGACTGCGGATGAATGCGTGTAGGCTGTGTGTGCTCCGGATGGGGTGGGGGCGCTTGTTCCCAACGCGGCGTCGTTACCCCCTCGCTGTCCCTCTCTTTTCTCTCTCTTTATGTGTGTGTATGTTTGTGAAGTGGGTGAAGGAGCATGACGCCTCCCCCACTGCTTTTGTGTGTTTTTTTTTATTGCCGCTTCTCTTCTGCACCCGCCTCCGTAATGAGTGCCAAAGCAACAGATCCGTGAGGAATACCACGAGCAAGTGCGGCCGCCAATTGGATACGGCTGTACACACTGTGCGCCTGCCGCCGCCGATTCTTACGCATACGAGCGACGCAGCAGCAGTAGCTCACGGCCGCAGGAAACCGCGCGGATGGCCAACACGCCGGTTGTCAACCACTACTACATCAGCGAGGAGTCTCAGGTGCCGGTTCCCCTCTTTTTCACGCCGAATGTGTCGATGGAGGCCCTGGCCCTGAGTCAATCGAAGGATACCTCCAGCCATCGTGGCAAGCGCGGACGGGAGCTGATGCGGCATGATTATCGCGTCAACGGAATCGCTGTGAGAACGGCAGGACCCACTGCGGCCGACAAAAGCATTCATGACGATGCTAGGGTCGTGAATCCGTACGAGAAGAGCCATCAAGGCCCTGTGCGGCCCATCTCCAGCGAGGAGGAGCGGTCTCACCTTGACGAGTCTATAGACTACTACAGACGTGCGAAATTTCCACGGAAGGAACCTTTGAAGTTGCTGGAAGTCGGAGGTGCATTTGCTGAGAATAATGCCACTACGGTGCACGCGGAGCTGCGGCTAATACGGGAGCAGCATGATCAGTTAAGCAAACTTGTGGAGGAGACGCGGGTAGAGCTGCAACGCAGTCGTGAGGCACTTGAACGCTCAGAAGAAAGTGCCCGCCGCTGCGTTCAGGAGCTACGCGTAGAGGTGGCGCAACTGAAGAAGCATGTAGAGCTGATGGACGGAAGGCAGTCGTCGCTGGAGGGGACACTCGGATCCTTCAAAGGGATGCAGACGCTCGTGGACACCGTACGCGGCGACGTTGCTGCACTCCGCACTGAAGTAAGCCAAAAGTCTACTGCCATCGCTCTTTTAGAGAAGTCCATTGACGACGTCAAGAGACAAGCGCTCGCCAGCGCCACAGCGAGAGAAGTGCCGTCATTTACTTGTCTTCCCATTAACCCCGCCACGACGGCGGGTGCAGTCAAGGCGACGCCGGCCACGGAGGCTTTGGGAACACCAGCGAACGCTTTCGCCTTTGGTGGTGGCCCTACCACTTTGGCTGCCGCGGCTGGGACGGGGTTTGCCTCTGCTGCGAAGGCCGACGAAACTTCTTCTGGGCCTGCGGTCAAGAATAAAAACCCTTTTTCGTTTGGTGGATCCACAACAGGCGTGCCGCCGGCGACTGCGTCGGGGTTCGGGGCTCCCTCTGTGCCGGTGGCGACGCCCGCCGCAGTCTCCACGTTAATGCCCAAAAATCCGTTTTCCTCGGCGAGTGTAACAACCGTTAATGCTTCCGGCTCCAGTAATGCGATGGCTTCGACCGAGCTCACCAAAGGAGGAACAACTACAACAAATGTGACGGCCACCGCTGCACCGGCTGCTCCGTCTAGTAATTTTGGCAATGCACCCGCCTCCCCCTTTAGCGCCATGCCTGCAGAAGAGGGCAATGTATCCACCGCCAAAACGGGGTTTGGGTTCCTAGTGGAGTCCGCCAAACCGCCAGCAACGTCGCAGGAGGCTGTGGCTACTGCTGTCTCCGCCGCCATCCCTAATCGCTTTAGCACCCCCTCAGGGGTTGGGGGTTTCACTGCTCCCCCCAGCGCCTCCACCGCGACGGCGTTTTCTCCGTTTGATTCAGCGGGTGCTTCTTCGACTGCGCCGTCAAACCCGTTTGGTGCGCCGCCACCCAAGGGCACTACCTCTGTTTCCTTTCGTGAGTCGTTGCAGTCCGTTCAGGACGTTTCTGCCGCCCCCTTCGGTGTGCCGGGGGAAGCGTCGTTTGCCAAGCCCCTAACTTCCAGAGTCATATTCAATACGGGCGAAGAGCCGGCTGCAGACAAAGAACCGCGCGTCTTCCACGAAAAAAAACGGGCCAACAGACGCTACTAGCGCCGTCTGCATCGACGCTGCGGCGGTCAGTGGAGCAACAGGGGGCGAAGCGAGAGGGTGTGTGCGAGAAGCAGGGGAGGGGCAAAAGGAATAAGCAAAGGAGCTGCGTAACAAAGGACGCATGCTGTGCGAACGCTTGCGCAAAAACGGCGAAGAAAACAAAAAAAAACAAGGCTTTCAACAACGGAAGAAGAATACATATATATATATAAAGCGAAGACTATATATAAAACGACGCCCCGAGACGACGACAGAGGATGAACTGAGTCGAAGAAAAAGTGGACGAAATTTTTTGTTGTTTTTCTTTTGGCTTGGTTTTAGCTTTAGTTTTTTTTTTTTTTTGTTGGCTCCTGTGAGTGGGGCTCGGGAAGCAGCTCAACGCCGTTTTCCACCACACAACGGAGGAGCGAACGCGTGCAGCTGCAGTAGGGAGCGTTCTTTCTTTATTTTGTAACCACTGACGCCTCTTAGTGCAGACTATTGTGCCATGGCAGCTAGCGTGGCGCTTTCCTCTCGCTGTCCCCCTCCTCCTGTTCTTCTGTTCCTGTGGTGTGTGCCGTCACTCCTGTTTATTATTATTTTTTTGCTTTTTTTTTGTCGTACACCCCCCCTTTAATGCTCCCCGCACACACACGCACGCACAAACCGCACAGCACTCGACTGAAGAGGCTGGAGGGAAAAACCTAAGAGGCAGGGAGGATTAACGCTGCTGCCCACCAGGTGGAACTGCGGCGGCTGGGCACATTCCACATGCGGGTGGGCGTCGGTGCGTTTTGAAGGGCAAGACGCTCACCACGTGTTCGGCTTACGTTACGGGCTTCAGTGGGGGCCGCGTCATCGGCATGGACCCGGAGCAGTTCGGCAACGGAAAAGTTAGCTTCTGTTACCCCGCCAGCCGATAGCGCAGCGGAGCGGTATGCGAGGTGGAAGGGGCCCACAATTGCAGCCACGGTGGAGGCGGCCGGTGAGCAATTTGGTTCCCATCACCCCGCCACATCCAGACAGGCCAGCGCAGTCAATGCCACGGATGCAATGACACCGCATCCCTTGTTAGCTGCCGCAGCGTCACCGCCACAGTTGCGACGCCGACAGCAATTTTCGTTTCTTAGTCATCCAGATGGTCGTCCCGCAATCACTGCCTTGCTTGTCCATGCGGTTCCAAACAAACACCGAAGCCGCT